AACACCACAGCTCAAAAGCATCAGTTCTTTGACATTCAGTCTTCTTTATGGTTCAACTCCCACATCCATACATGACCACTGGAAAAACCATAACTTTGACTAGCTGGACCTTTGTTGGCAAGGTAATGTGTCTGCTTTTTAATACACTGTCTAGGTTTGTCATAGCTTTTCTTCCAAGAAGCAAGTGTCTTTTATTTTTGTGACTTCAGTCACCACCTGCAGTGATTTTGGAACCCAAGAAAATAAAATCTGTCACCGTTTCCATTGTTACCCCATCTATTTGCCATGAAGTGATGGGACTGGATGCCCTAATCTTAGTTTTTTGAATATTGAGTTTTAATCCAGCTTTTTCACTCGCCTCTTTCACTTTTCATCAAGAGGTTCTCTAGTTCCTCTTCGCTTTCTGCCATAAGGGTGGTGTCATTTGCAAATTAGAGGTTATCAATATTTTTCCTGGCAGTCTTGATTCGAGCTTGTGCTTCATTCAGCCCGGCATTTCCCATGATGTACTCTGCATATAAGTTAAACAAACAGAATGACAATGTACAGCCTTGACATACTCCTTTCCCAATTTTGAACCAGTCCATTGTTCCATGTCTGGTTCTAACTGTTGCTTCTTGACCTGCATACAGGTTTCTCAGGAGGCAGGTAAAGTGGTCTGGTATTTCTATCTCTTAAAAAAAATTTCCACAGTTTATTGTGATTCACAGTCAAAGGCTTTAGCATAGTCAATGAAGCAGATGTTTTTCTGGAATTCTCTTGCTTTTTCTATGATCCAGCAAATGTTGGCAATTTGATCTCTGGTTCCTCTCTCTTTTCTAAATCCAACTTGAACGTCTGGAAGTTCTTGGTTCATGTACTGTTGAAGCCTGACTTGGAGAATTTTGAGCATTACTTTGCTATCGTGAAATGAGTGCAGTCAGTTGTGCAGTAGTTTGAACATTCTTTGGCATTGCCTTTCTTTGGGATTGGAATGAAAACTGACATTTTCCAGTCCTGTGGCCACTGCTGAGTTTTCCAAATTTGCTGGCATATTAAGTGTAGCACCTTAACAGCATCATCTTTTAGGATTTTCAATAGCTCAGCTGGAATTCCATCACCTCCAATAGGTTTGTTCATAGTGATGCTTCCTAAGGCCCACTTGACTTCACATTCCAGGATGTCTGGCTCTAGGTGAGTGATCACACCATCGTGGTTATCTGGGTTGTGATTTTTTTTTGTATAGTTCTTCTGTGTATTCTTGCCACCTGTTTTTAATATCTTCTGCTTCTGTTAGGTCCATACCATTTCTGTCCTTTATTGAGCCCATCTTTGCATGAAATGTTCCCTTGATATCTCTGATTTTCTTGAAGGGATCTCTAGTCTTTTCCATTCTATAGTTTTCCTCTATTTCTTTGAATTGATCAATGAGGAAGACTTTCTTATCTCTCCCTTCTTTTCTGTGGAACTCTACATTCAAATGGGAATATCTTTCCTTTTCTCCTTTGCCTTTCCCTTCTCTTCTTTTCTCAGCTATTTGTAAGTCCTCCTCAGACAGGCATTTTGCCTTTTTGCATTTCTTTTTCTTGGGCATGGTTTTAATAGCTGCCTCTTGTACAATGTCACGAACCTCTGTCCATAGTTCTTCAGGCAGTTAGACTTTTATATTTGGGACAGTTTAGATGATGGCATATTTATTCCTTAAAGAAAAGTAGATCTTTTTTGAGTAAGTGAAACATTTGCTGAAGTAGCATAGAATAGCTCTGTACCTCTCTAGACTGGCTTACTGAGGTTCAACAGAAACCTTTTTAGGAGAAGAAATTTTAGCATTTGTACACTAAGCATTTCAGCAAAATAGTCACTCTTAAGAGCAGTGAAGCTATACATTCTCTGCATTATATTTAAAAGCCTAATTTGTTTAAAGGAGATGAAAACCTTAAGACCAGATTTATGGATTGGCTACTCTGGGAGGATTTGCTGTCCCACTAGTCATCGGAATAGGGTCTTCCTAAACCATCAGGTGGACTTTAGTCTAGTTATGAAGGATTAATGTGATTTATGTCATTGGTTAGTTTTCAGAGAAACCCAGCTGTTAGATATCAGAAAACCTTCAGCAGTTAAAATCCTTGTCTTTTACCCCTCACAAATATAACATTTTCAGAAGTACTGGAGACAAGGCGTGGGCAGGTGCTACAAATTTCATTGAAATTTAAGAGCTAGTAATAATGACTTCCCTGGTGGCTCAGATGGTAAAAGCGTCTGCCTACAACGCGGGAGACCTGGGTGCGATCCCTGGGTCGGGAAGATCCCCTAGAGAAGGAAATGGCAACCCACTTCAGTACTCTTGCCTGGAAAATCCCATGGATGGAGGAGCCTGGTAGGCTGCGGTCCATGGGGTCACAGAGTCGGACACGACTGAGCGACTTCGCTGCTACTACTGCTAATCAATCCCTGGCCACTCTCCCTGGTTTCTTAGCGTTATAACAGGTGGTGGGACGCAGAGCAGTTCCTTGCATTTGGTCGTCTTACAGGTTTCAGATCTCTTTCCTCAGTGTGACTGTATTAATTACCATGTGCGCTGCTTTGTAAGCACGAGGCTATCTAGAAAACATTTTATGGTTTAGTTTGTTCACTGACTCACTGAAGGATGGAAGAAGTTAGCTGTTACTGGGCTTGACAGGCACGTGACCTCTTGGAATGAGGTGTTTACATATCCAGACTTGAACAAGGTTTTACCTGTATTGTCTAGACCTGAGCAATGCTAGTGCAAGTGCTGAAAACCGCCTATGACTGGTAAAGAAGTGCTGGTAAGGCAGTATTTGAGAGACTGTATACTCAGTTAAATATTTTCTCTTAGCATTGTTAGTTGGTGTGTAATAACATTCAGTTGTCATGTATTATTGTTATTCCCACGTGTACAAATTTTTTACGTTTTTTACCCCCTCTGTTTTCCTCTTCTTTCTCCTTCCTTAGGAAGAAGGATTCTTCCATCTCCAGGAGATAGTACTTAAGGTCTGTTCTAGCCTGAGCACGTGGCAACCCACTCCAGTATTCTTGCCCGGAGCATCCCCATGGACAGAGGAGCCTGGCGGGCTTCAGTCCGTGGGATCACAAAGATTCGGACAGGACTGAGCGACTAATCACAGCACAGCGCTAGTCAGAGCCTTGACCCCTGTGTTATTGATCAGATAACATTATTGACGAGAGAGCATTCGGGTTTCAAGAAAATTAATCACAGGGTGTCATTTCCTTACCATTTACATGAGTATCATGTGGATGATTCAAGAAGAGAGAAATCAGATTTGAAATTTAAACAGCCATAGAAAAAATGATTTGAGTTTTTAAAAAAAAATAACCCTTATTTCTAATGTCCTTCCACACCCTTTTCAACGATAGTGAGCTCATGACTATCTTTCTAGGTTTTCCTATTACTAAGCAAAGTTCTGTAATTTTGCCATCTAGAGAGAAACACTGTTAAAACATTCTGATGTTAGAAGGCTGATTCACTTTGCTCTATGGAAGAAACTAATACAATATTATAAAGCAGATATACTCCAGTAAAAATTCATTAAAAAGAAACATTTTGATGTGTATCCTTCCCATATGCTTTCAGCACACAGGTTTAAACAATTAGCTTCATGCTGTACATACTATTTTACAGTCTACTTTAAAAAGCTGTGAGTGATTGAAAGCCTCTTGGTCAAGTCTGACTGTTTGCAACCCCATGGCCTATACAGTCCTTGGAATTCTCCAGGTCAGAATACTACGACGGGTAGCTTACCGCTTCTCTGACGGATCTTCCTGACCCAGGGATTGAAGCAGAGTCTCCTGAACTGCAGGCGGATTCTTTACCAGCTGAGCTATCAGGGAAGCCCAAAAATTGAAAGCCAGATCATATCTAAGGAAAGGGACTAGTTAAATATTGTTACATATGATCTACTATATATTGAAAATATTTTAGAATAATATTTAATAGCATAGAAACTAATAATCTGTATACTCTGCTATAATCTGTATTATTTATATTTTCTATGCTATTAAATATTTTTCTAAAATATTTTCAATAGCTGCAGTACAGTACATCATATGTAGCAATATTTAATTAGTGCCTTTCATTAGATGTTATCCGGCTTCTATAAATTATACAGAAGAGAACTTGGCATAGATCTTTGAGTACTTCTCTATTTCTTCAAGATAGATTTCAGGTAGTTTCATGGGTTTAATTTTTTTTTTTTCTTTCACTGAAGTAATTATACTTTGCTGGAAGATGAAAGCTAATATTTTTTTTGCATGCTCATAAACCAAATACTGTGCAAGATGCCTTGTAGTTTCATATTCATGTAATTTTTAGCTATTTTTAATCCCCAGTTTTTTAGATGGAGATGTCCAAATGCATATGTATTAGACATTGTGTAGTAAGTTAATAGCACATAGAAAATGTTTGCATGTTTTGTTTAGCAAATGAAAAAGTCCTTCAGTAGTCAACAGGAGACAATCAAAACTTAGTTTGTATTTCTGTTTTGGCTTTGAGGTATATAGTATAATAAGAATGTTTAATCTTCTTGTGTTTTGTTCGGTGTAAAGGGTTTTAGGTCTTCAAATTTTATAGTTAATTAGCATTTATAGCTTTGGGAGGAAAAAAAGTGGGTGAGTCCCTAATGAATTTTGCATTTAGCTTATATGACTACTATAGATGATTTATAAATCACATTTCAACTTTAAATTATGGCAGATAATTGTCTGCGTCTACTAGGTGAAAATGGTTTCCCTTCGCTTAAAATTTCAGATATAACTTTCAGATTTTGCACTTATAAAATCTAAGAGCAGAAAGTTCAGTGATACAAGGAAGAGAAAAGTTTGCAGAGGAAGGGTGAGGGCAGTGAGGTGGTAAGACTGCTTTTACAGAGCTTGCTTAGAATCCTTTGCCTGCTAGTTCATCCAGCAAACCTGTTTTGATAAGCGAGGCTGCTGTTTGTAGGGCCTCGTCGGTGTTATCTAACACAGGGGCTGTTTTGTCTCAGTCACATAGATCAGACGACGACCTGGCAGGACCCCAGGAAGGCCATGCTCTCCCAGATGAGCGTCGCCGCCCCGACCAGCCCACCAGTGCAGCAGAACATGATGAATTCGGCCTCGGGTGAGTGAAATGCTGTCATCAGGGCACACAGGTAGTGCCTGTGCATTGGTGAAGCTTTCTATGGAAAATAGTATTTATTCTTTTAAGGAAGTTGGAGCATCGGTGATGGTTACTTTCTATCCTCTTTCATAAGAGAAACTTATTTTATTCAAATAGCCCGCTATACCAAACCCTTATTTAATGATGAATACATATGGGAGTTGGTGATTGAAAGCCAGCAGTCTTCCAAGTTTCATTTCTGAAGTGACTGTCTCATTCCTAGTTTGATTAATTTTGACATGCTCATGCTTTAATCTACTGCTTTCTTGTGTCCGAGACCTTAGAGTTGAACTTTCCCTCTTCCTTTTGTGGTTTGGATGGGAAGCCACCTCTTATCATGAATGTTTGTTCTATCTTGAGAATAATGGGAAGGTAGCAACTTATAAAACCCAACCACCTTTCTTAGGGCTGGTACATATTATTTAACACATTTCCCCCTTTTTCACAGAAGATAAACCTGAGTGTAAATTTTTTTTCTCTCTCCTATTTGGCAGTTTACTAAATCTGCTGTTTTTCTCATCTGTGTAATTGGGAGTCACAGTGCCCCTTGTTAGGAAGACAGCAAAGGAAATAGTATACATGTAAAAGTTTTATATTGCAGTTCTAATACGGAGTAGGTACTAAGTAAAGGTTTACTTCCTTCTTACCTCTGTCACTTAGATTTTGTATGGCTTCTTTCTTCTTTGTTACATGCACCCAAGGCTATAGCTACCCATTAGCATCTTTGTGCACGGTAGGAAAAGGGCTTGCTGGGTTGCATTAGTGGGTAAAGAATCTCCTGCCAATGCAGGAGATTGAAAGGCACAGGTTCGCTCCCTGGGCCGGGAAGATCCCCTGAGGAGGGCATGGCAACCCACTCTAGTATTCTTGCCTGGAGAATCCCCATGAACAGAGGAGCCTGGTGGGCTGCCGTCCATGGGGTCACAAAGAGTCAGACAGGACTGAAGCGACTGAGCCCGCATCCCCGCCCCACGCTCTGGGAAGATGCCCCCCAAGCCTGGGGTCGGGGCTTGGGGCGCGTGGGCCGGGTCTCTGACCACACCCCTGCCCCCACTCTTTACCCCCTCGCTGAAGTCCTGGGTTGGGGTGCAGACAGCAGCGGCAGCAGCTGTGACCTGCAGCCTGGTGCCCTGCTGGCCTTCCCCCTCACAGCCCTGCCCAGCAGGCCGGTCAGCGTGGTACTGCTGGAAGCTGCACTGCAGATTTTCTCAAACGGCAAGCAGCCTTCAGAAGGGGACTGGCAGAGGTGGGGAGGCTGGTACAATTCTGTGTCAGAAGGATTCCTTGGCTAGGAAAGCTCATGAAACTTAAAGTGTCCTTCCCCTGGAGATGATGACAGTGTGTTAAAATGTTTTGCTGGTCCATAACCCTGTTCTTGCCTTCGATGGGTTGGACACTTGAAAGAATTCAAGAAAATAAAAATCAAGGCAAGATTTGTGACTGAGCCTTTCTTGTCATATAGTTTCCATTTTATCTGCTCTTATTTTAATATCAGTACCTTTACTTATCCTCAGAATATGTTTTATATGTGACATTGAAGTTAAACTTTTTTCAAAGGCCCAATATTATGCAAGTATTTATTGACTAAAATTTTTACTTGACAACTATTTTTTTAATTATCAAATATCCAAATAAAAGCTATGAAAGCTGCTTTGTATTTATAGTTCAAAAAAGATGATGCACGGTTTTCATTTTGTCATAATCCAACTAAAACTATACCTGGCAAGTTAGTAACAATAATTCATTAATTTAACTTTTATCTTGGAAAATCAGGCATTTTGCTTCTGTAATATTCATTATGATTCTTTTAGAACATTGGTTTGTTTATGTTTTTCCTATTAAATTTTCTAACAGCAATGATCTAAGAAAATGAAAAGAATTGGAATCAAGTTTATGTTTAAAACCAAAAGTATGTATCAAATTGGTTTTAATGGATCTTAGAATATTTGTGTATATTTTATTTCAGCTCTGTGTTTTGTAAAATACGAAATGTGTTTTTCTGTACTGCATAGAAATTACTAGACATGCTTGCTGCTGTGTTAATGAAAGAGGTGACTTTGGCAGAAGCGGTCTGCGTAAAGTGGCCGGAGGCACGATTGTAGTGGGTGGGTGTGTTTTTGTTGGGGAGGGGCTGGGAGTTGTGTGAAGAGAGGCTTCGATGTGGAGCTGGAGGCAGGACCTGAAATGGGAAAGGCCACCCCTCAGAGAAACTTGAGCCTGTTTAGTGGTGGTGTGGTGCGTGCTGTTCTCTGCTTAGTCGCTCAGTCATGTCCAACTCTTTGCAAGTAGCCCACCAGGCTCCTCTGTCCATGGGATTCTCAAGGCAAGAATATTAGAGTGGGTTCCCTTGCCCTCCTCCAGGGGATCTTCCCCACCTAGGGATCGAACCCAGGTCTCCTGGATGCAGGCAGATTCTTTACCATCTGAGCCACCAAGGTATTAAATAATAATAGGAAGCCCTATTTACATGCCAGGCTTCCCGCTAAGGTCATTTTGTATAATCTGATTTAATTCCCATAATGGTCATTAAATTAGGTGCTGTTATTAGTCTCACTTCACATTTGAGAAACCTTGAATGGCTATTTAAAAATAGAAGACTTCTTCGTGGTGTTACGATGCTTTGGAATCAATGCCATGGGAACTGTAATCTTGATAACCTCATGTTCACGTACAGTTAGGGCCATAATGTCACGTTAATAAGGGTTCAGCTCAGGGGCTTCCCCTTCTCCATCTGAAATGAACTCACGGTGTTTGACGACTGTGCATTCTCCACTGAGATACAGAGCATGATTTCTCGAATAACTTTAAGAGAAAATGATTTTACCTCTCAGTCAAGGATTTCTCCTTGAGTAAAGCAGCAAAAGTGATGCTCCTCTGTGCTTGGGAAATAGTCTTTTGAGTTTTCAAAGCCTGGAGCCTGTGAGCAAGAATTATGAGGATGTTTAAATAAATTTTCAGGATATTGACTATAACAAAGTAGCTAGCCTATTTCCAGTTAAGCAGGGTATCTGCAGACAGTTTTCACCTTGAAGACAATTCCTTCTGAACCTGCTCATCTGAAGCCTTTCTGTAAAAGAGATACACAGCTTTTTTGAAGCCTTTTACTGAGTTAATCAAGCTAAATGTAGCTTGATTTACATTTTTGTCATTAATTATTTTAACTGGAACTTCCTATTGTTAATCTTTTTATAAAAGAACTCACCTCATTCAAATATTTGAGTCCAGCTTTGTGTTCTGTTCTAATTATTTCTAATCAGCTCACTTTGCCGTATTTTCTCTAGACTCTCTAGTTTTCTACATAGGTTTTAATGGAACTGAATAATATTTTAAGATTTTCTCCAGTTCTAAGATTTTATGAAATCCATTCTTTCACTAGAATTTGGTTTAGCAAAAAATGATTAGTTTACTTTTGCATTTTATAAGTCTTTTTCACAACATGAAGTTGAAATGGTAAGTTTTATTGCTAGACTGGAGGTGTGTGATTTATAATTGGCTAAATTTCTGTTACTATTAGTCACTCACTCATGTCTGACTCTTTGCAACCCCATGGACTGTAGCTTCTGTCCATGACATTTTTCCAGGCAAGGATACTGGTGTGGGTTGCCATTTCCCTTCTCCAGGGGATCTTCCCAACCCAGGGATTGAACCCAGGTCTCCTGCATTGCAGGCAGATTCTTCACCTCTGAGCCATTGAGAAATCACTTAAAGATGCACCTGGACAGGGTTTAGAGGCAAGATTTACTTAATCCTAGGAAGAAATTTATATTCTTTAACTGGCCATTTAATTAGCAAGACAGTGAACTTTGTAAAAAGGAATTTGAAATGTGAGGAAAAGAAAATTACAAAATAAAAGGAAATTTGAATAATTAGTAAAATAATTCTACTTTTCTTTACATTAAAATATATAATATATAATGTATAAAAGTACACACAAACCGTATTCTATTAAATTGATGATTGCCCCTTACAAGTTACATTAAATGTATCATGTTTATGGCACATTGTTGTTGTTCAGTCACTCAATTGTGTCCGACTCTTTGCATCTCCATGGACTGCAGCACGCCAGGCTTCCCTGTCCGTCACCAACTCCCAGAGTTAGCTCAAACTCATCCACTGAGTCGGGATGCCATCCAGTCATCTCATCCTCTATTGTCCCCTTCTCCTCCTGCCTTCAGTCTTGCCCAGCATCAGGGTCTTTTCCAAGGAGTCAGGCCACATCAGGTGGCCAAAGTATCAGAGCTTCAGCTTCAGCATCACTCCTTCCAGTGAATATTCAGGACTGATTTCCTTTAGGATTGACTGGTTTGATCTCCTTGTAATCCAAGGAACTCGAAAGATTCTTCTCCAACACCACAGTTCAAAAGCATCAATTCTTTGGTGCTCAGGCTTCTTTATGATCCAGCTCTCCTTTTATGCTCCTTAGAAGAAAAGCTATGACAAATGTAGACAGCGTATTAAAAAGAGGTGACAAAAGGTCTGTATAGTCAAAGCTGTAGTTTATCATGTATGGATGTGAGAGAGAGTGTGTGAGAACTCCATTTATATGAAGATTTTTATTAGTAGCTTGTTACCAATGACTCACAAGATTGCTGAGTCTTAAGGCAGCAGTATAAAGAAAATACATCCTGTGATAATCCAGAAATAACTTGGTGCCAAAGGACAGGTGACTGTTTAGGATAATTAAAAATGGCATAAGCCTTGATTTAAATGATGCAAAGTCAATGAACCCTCTATTGTCTGCTTTTAAAAAATCTACCTTTGATAGCAATTTGGTAAAATCAAATGTCTTGTTATAGGTACATTTTAAGGAATTCATTATTTTCATGGTTTAAGTCTGGCATTTATTTGACTAATGCCTGAATCGGCCAATACAGCACTTTCTGATTTCCCCATTATGAAAACCTGCATGGAATTCCTAGGAAATCTGTCAGGATGGGTGGAGAAAATGCCGTCTTGATCGT